CAAATACCAGGCTATTTTTAGCGGTGTCAGTAGAGGGAACTGTGCTACTGTAGTGATAAAGGATCTTGTATCGCACATGTGTGATACAAGCAGACAGGAAACACCCCTGACAAAATGATGTATTACTATCGTAAGATTGTATAGGCATGTGATAAAACACCAGCACCACTGTGCTACCTATTCAACTTGCATTTTTATCAAGTGTTGATATAAACATTTTAAATGTTTAATATTATTCTCTGCACGCAAGCGTACAGCAATATCTACCGTAACAAATTATCAGGACTCTGTTTTAAGCAGAGTTAGACCACAGTGTTCTAGATTGCTTTGAAGGCACGATCAGTAGAATTTTGTTAATGGTCTATATGTCATATATATTTTATTCAATTTTAATTTTAGTCTCCCAACTTATTTTTATAATTATCTAAAATGTTTGGTGTAGTTAAATAATTGTGTATTAAGCTTCAAACATTAACCTGTCCGGTTCCTCAAATGAAAAAAGTGTCGTTGATTTATTCAGCTCTAATCCTTTCACCACCGTAGACCGTAATGGACACATGCATAGGGGTGAAAGGGTTAAGGTAATAGGATTGTGTCACCATTTCTCAGTAGAATTTCTTCAAATTTTGTAGTTATATTGCTTTAAAGTAAAGAAAAAATTCTACCACAAAAAATAGGTTGTCAGAATTTTAAGGATTTTAAATGGAAATTTATGTAAAAAGGAGTGAATTTTGAAAAAAAAAATGAAAGACACAATATTTTTACAAAATAATGTCAATAAAAATGATACTGACATATATTAGTATTGCATTAATGTATATCAATTTAATACACGCTGAAATTGTGTAAAATTAATTCTCTATACACGATATAAAAATTGACATTTTATAATAAAACCATATACACATAGTAATTGCAGGTAAGAGTTATCGTTCTTGAAAACTTCACAGTAGTGAAATAGGTAGCCGGTTTCCTGAAGTAAAGAAAAAATAGACACATGTGACTCATTGATAAAAAAAAACTGAATTAATGCCTGGATTGCTTTGAAATACTTTAATATTGAGAGAACACACTGTTCTGTCAATAATAAACATACAATATTTATCAGTTTAATATTAAACTTTAGAATTTGCAAAAATTGTGATACTGTCTCCCTACATTGGATTTTCAACTAGGGATGTACTTCCTGTTTCCGTTTATCAATACACTCCAATGACCTTAAGTTAAAAATAATTTGTATCAAAGGTACACGTCTTAGATTACACATTTGTAAACATCACTAGGTGAATCTCTTGAAGTATTTTATGATTTGATTGCATACAGGCTTAAAGTGGTAAATGTAGCTATGTGGTTTAAACAAATTTAGTCTGAAGCATCACTAGGGGAGGGCATGGACACTCATTTCTTAAATAAATGAGGTTGGTTTGACCTCTGAGGCCAGGGGGGCGGGGCCCTGAAGGGGAACTTAGCAAAATTTGCTTTAAAACGCATCTCCTCCTAAACACCAGAGAGGATTTCCTGAAGGGGAACTTAGCTATATTTGCTAAAAATCTAAATAACCTTTTCCCTTCTTACGTACAGAATATAATGCCAAACAGAGTGCATAATGGATATCAATTCCAATTTACGAAATCGAAATAATTATTTGATTCAAAGATGTAAATTAAGCTTATTTGAACAAGAGGCCCATGGGCCTTATCGGTCACCTGATATATTTATACAGAGGGTTGATTTTGTTTTTTAAGACGAACAGAAATATTATTCAAAGTGACAAAATACAATAAAACCACCTTATTCAATGTCTAGCATACAGACTTAAAAGTATTTGAAACTAGCACCTCTGATTCTAAACAAGGAGAATGAAGAAATTTTAACACACTACTGACTCCTTTAGGCCCAACCCTACAGCCCTTGGGGGTAGGGCTGGCTCAAATTTTCAAAGTATCAAACTGTTTATAATTCCAATCAAGTTATTAACATGTAATATTCAAAGTATCATGTGCCATTATAAACCATAATATAAATTTTGTGCCTTAAGACCCTTCCATCTATGAAGAGTGTTTGATTCTACCATATCTGGATCTTTGAAAGAAGATTTTTGAAATTTCAGTCAATTCAACCCTTTTTGGCCCCACCCATCAGCCCCGGGGGTCAGTCAGGGCTGATATGTGCATACCATCAAACTGCTATCCAATACTGATAATGCTAACCCAAATTGAATTACTTCCAATGGAAATTAAACAAATGTTGG